CCCCAAAACCCCAAAACCCCAAAACCCCAAAACCCCACTATTTCCGAGCCAAGTAGAATTTTACACAAAATATTAAGTTCTCGACTGGTCTTCCTTTATTGTGTAGTATGAGTATTTGAAACTCATCCTCACTTTTTCATTTGGATCAATTCTTACTAGCTTCTTGACTTCTGACTGCATATAGCCGAGTCTGATGTTCCAAGTGTCATTGGATCCTCCACTAGGATCTTCTAACTTCAGATTTTGAAGCTCGAACTTAAAGTCACCTTTAAAGAAATAATTTGGATCTTCATTTTTAAACAAAAAACCATAGAACGAACCAAAATAGTAGTATTTGTAGTAAATTTGTAATATTTCATTGGATCCTGCCTTGGTTATTGATGATTTCACTCCTCTAAGTGCAGTAATATGAGCTATTTCATCAGCAGATAGTTGTTCAGGAGAGTTTCTTTCAATTATAGAGCTTGTCTGGTCTCCTGGCTTCAGAAACTGATGACCGCAAGTATTCTGAAAACAAACTCCAAGTGAAATGTTTACCTTCTGAAGGCTCTTGACGATATAAGTCTGGGGTTTAACTGTAAACTTCCAGAAAGGTTTTTGTTTACTAAGTTTCAAATCCTCGGATCATAATCTCAAATTATCAAGTTTCTTTAAGGTGAAATATTCATCAAGAGTGTAAGTCTTACTCTTGTTTTCGAAAATAAAGATCACCCCATAGTCATGGAAGAGATAGTAGTAGTTCATCACATCTTTAGGAGCAGATGGATTAGAGATAGCCTTCTTCTTTCCATCTTTGAAACACATCCTAACTAGACTCTTGGTATTGTATTTGATGCGTGTTTGATAACTATAATTACAATGACATCCTGGATCTATCATTTTTAGAAGGTGGAACTTTTGTTTTCCTGGATTAATTTCAAAATATTTCTCTGAAAATGCACTTTTGGAATCTGAAACAGGAGTAATTTCCAAGTATCCAGATTTTATACTAGTCTCCATGAGTTGTAATCCCTTTAATTTGGTGAATTGAACCATCTCTAGGGCAGTAGAACCGTTAGTAGAATCATTTGAGAATAAATAAAGAGCATAACCACCAGCTTCTTTTCTATTGAAATACTTAGCAGTAAATCCTGGTTCCTCGTTATTTATTCTTACTTTAGTAACCCTAGTTCTAGCATAATCTTTCAAGGTATTTACCAAGAAGATGCCAAATTCTGAGTGAGGTACCTCACTTGTCAGTACTTCAGAGCCAATTATATTACATCCAAACTGAATATGAGTCGAGTCCTTTCAATCAAGCTCAATGTACAAGTAGTAAGTTCCTTTATTTAAAGTATTGATAATTAACTGATCATTACTAGTTTTTGATCAGACATCACTCATAAAAATTGGAGTTTCGAGACTAAGACATTCAGGCTCAGATTTATAGTCTCCGTTGACATACTTGAAGGGAGATTTTCGATCCCCAGTTTTTTCAGCAAGTAGAACCCTAGCGTTTGCAGGTCTATAACCATCAGATTTGAAAAATCTCTTCAGATATTGGTGGATGTTAATAGTAAGATTAGTATTGGCACGTAAAGTAAGCTCTGTCAGAACATAAGAATCTTGTTTATGAGACATTTTACGAGAAGTAACTCGAAGATACGGGTTAAATTTTCAAACAGTAACAGATTCAAAACAATAGAGGAAATTACGATAGCTTATATAAAACTCTCCATCGTATTTTGAGTTAAAATTTGACTGTTTCTTTGAGTTCTTCTGTCCATCTATTATCACTATCTCTCCAAGCTCCTTTATAAGCTTGGCTAGCCCAAGGATTGGATAGTTTCAGGATGTGTTCTGTTTGAGTTCCTACCCGGATTTTGTAGCTTCCAGAAATGATATAACAATGATTGGATACTATTCCGCTTAATGGTTCCTCGACTTTTAGTTTTCTATCTTGGTCTCCTTCACAAGGACGAGATGAAGCAGTAACGATATAATTATAATTTCATGCCTTATGAATTTTCTCCGGAGTATTCTCTTTGTCTTCAAGCTCCTTTTCGTTATATCTCTCTATTGGAAAAGGAACAAGTGATATTAGAGCATCACCAGAATTTCCACTCTCAATATCTTCGTAGCTACCATTGATCTTTGCCCAAGCTTTTTCGATAAGTATTGGCCAGATATTCTTAGTAACCTTCATTGCGAAGGCCAATGTTTTATGATAATTACTGTACGGAACGTAATCATCAACTGTGACGAACTCTGGATGCCCATTTATCAAGAATCTAAGCACGTAAATGCCAGACTTGTTGATTCTTTTGTTTACAAAGATCTTCTTGATCTCATTTGGATGCGATCCCACCAGCCCTCTGAGAGTTGAGATGAAATAACAGTCTCCAAGCTGGCCTTGCTTGACATCTTTGACAGAAATATCTTTGATGAGATCCATGTCAGATTCAGGGTAAAGATCATGCAAACGCTTCCATTCAATTCTCTCTTCAAATTGACTTTTCTTCTCATCATCAAACTTGCTCTGCCTCTTAGAAAAGATTGAGGATGCTTTGGGAGGAAACAGATCGTCTTCATACTTCTCTCCATTGAGAATAATTGATGTGTAATCAGGCAATTTTGTGATTTGTTGGAGTCTATAAACAAAGTCTTGCATCAGGAGCTTTATTAAATATTAATTTTAAACAAAGTTCCACCTCCAAATATTTATGCGGGGTTTTGGGGTTTTGGGGTTTTGGGGTTTTGGGGTTTTGGGGTTTT